ACCTTTTGGAAGTGTAGCGTCTGTTGGGCTGATGTCTCTAATATATTTGATTTTATGACTTCATTAAAGGTGGAGGGTTACCATTGTTGTTGGAGGGAAGCCTCTAGCCTTAGGTCTTGCTGCTAAGGAAGATCTGTGATAAGTCATCCTAGCGTGATATACTCCTCTCTACAGTACACATTTACTTTTCTACAAAGGGAGAAAAATGCCAAGCAAAGAAGCAGCACATTTTAATTGTTATTATTTCTGATATATGAATGACATTGTCAATAAGTCAAGGTGGTAATGTTCTAGGTTCCTGAAGTGCAAGAAGAAGCTATTAAGAGGACTTGGAAGGTATTAAATGGATTGATGAAATCTATAAAGCATATAAATAAGAAAATTATGAAGAATGTAAATAAGAATCCAGACAGGTAATTTCTTAAGCACAGGCTTCTTTTAAATATATAAAGAATGTTTACAACTAGATATTTCTGTTTATATATTGGGAAAAAAATAAAGTTCAGCATTTTGGCTTAAAAATATCCTTTGTGAAAACTTAATGGGATGTTAATACTTTAATACTATATTCTGGCTGCTTTTCTTTGGTGCTGAAGAGCTATGATGGTGGTGTTCAAATTTTAGTGGGTTGTTTTATTTTGAAATCTTTTGTTAAAAAACATTTCTGACCTCTTCTCTAGATTCAAGAGGGCTGGGTTTGGGCTCCAGCCTGTTGTGAAGGAATTCCAAGTGTAACATGGCTTGACACTGGTTTACTGTAGCAGTGCACAGACTTTCACTCGTGGTCAACCATTCTGTTTTATGCTTCAATGACAGATTTTTGGGAGCTTGCCTGATACTTCATTCCCTGAGCCCACCTGCCTGTCAGTGTCACCCCCAAATGCTCCACCACGGCAGTCAAAGAGACAAGGACAGAGGACGAAGAGACCTGTGGCTGTGTATAATCTTTGTCTTGAGCTGGAAGATGGTAAGATGTTAATTATGTTTTTCTGCTTGACGACATGTGGAGGGTATAGCATATCTCATGCCCTCTGGGGATACCACATGTTTTTATTCTCTGTGTTTTAATTTCTTTCTCCATTAAGATTATAATTTTTGAGATTAATGGGAAGGTTGAAACTTGTCAGGGAGAAAAATGCAAGTTTCAGTTTTGTGTTTGTCTTTGTTATGCATGGTTCTTTTTTTATTTTTAAGACAGCTTAAATTCCTTTTTTGGGAGACTTGTGTGACCTCCTGTGAGGTTACATAACCCTGAGACAAATGGAAAGCAAACTAAAATTAAAGCAGATCTTTGATGTGAGGAGCTGGTTGAGCCAATCCACTGTGAATGTGTCTGGATTAAAGGCACAGGTCACTATTACCCTGGGGCTTTCAGCTTCTACTCTGTACCGAACCTGCCCCAGCTGACTGACTTTCTCAAAACACAGATCCCTTTGTCATTTCAAAAGACAGGGGCAGCAAATTGGTAGTGTTTGAAGCTAGTTCATGAACTGGGCACAGTGGGACTCTGGCCTCTCATGTCCCCTCCAAGCAGCCAGTTCTTGCCATGCAGCCATGCTGTCTGAGTATTACTGGATTACTCAGTTTTAGAGAGCCTGGAAATCTGAATTTTCAGATTAAAACCAAGACCATAGCTGCATAGAAGCTGATTGATGATTTATAGTCATATGATTCTTGATATAGAGACCAAAATGACCCTGGTGTCAAGGCCTGCATGTTTACATCCATGTGGTTCCTTTCATGAGTTTCTCTCCTAGTGACTTAATTTCCCAAATTTGAGATTAGTCTTGAATTTTCTTCCACTTTTTATGCCACCCCCCGAAAAAAACGCTCATTGTTATCCTTTTGAACTCCTGGGGCTGTATTGATTGGAAAGTACGAGATGGTTGTCAGAGGGAAGAAGGGAGTGAGGACAGGAGCAAATACAGTACCTCCCTCATAAACAGTTACACACTCAAGCGAAAAGTAACATCCATAGAGTCATGCAAGGAAGGGACTGGAGGTCCTCAGGGGAAGACCTGAAACAGCCTCGGTGACAGCACTGGGTGGCCGAGTCCTCCTTGTTTCTTTTGAATTGCTTACATTTACTCACATGAGCGAAGAATCCAGATTTTTACTTTCCTGGGGAAATGGTTGAATCATTAAAATTAGCTTCTAATCTTAGACCTTCCTTTTGTGTGTTTGTGTGTGTGCACTTGTACAGGTGGCTGTGCATGTACATGTGGGCATGCCTATGTGTGTGTGGAGGCCAGAAGTCAGTATCTAGAGGCTTTCTCAGTCACTTCGCACCTTCTGAGACAGGAGTCTCTCATAAAACTCGGGATTCTGTGATTGGCCAGCTGAGCACTGGGGCTTGGTTTGCTTCTGTCCCTCCTCCTCCCAGGACTAGGGTTACAGACATGCATGAGCACACCCAACTTCTTTCTGTGTCTGCTGAGGATCCAAACTCAGGTCCTCAAGCTTGTAGACAGGCACTTTTCTGACTAGGCCATTTGCCTAGCTCCCAGAACTTTTTAGACACTACTTTCCACTTGTGATTCTAGCTCATTTTTTTTCTCTTTCTTCTCACTTTCACTCCTAGTCAACAGAGTTGCTAATAAGGAGTAAAACTGACTGGTTTGAGTCTCACCTTCCCTTACATCTCACCTATCCTCTGGTAGAAGTGTTAATAAGCAGTGAACTAAGCAAAGGTAGGAGGGAGAAACAAGGTACAGCACAGAAAACTACGTGCATTGTCTTACTAGGCTTCAAAGGAACTGGAAATGACTAGTTCCTAATGGAGGTGATCAGAGGCAGGCATTTGTCTTAGAGTCACACCTACTTTTCTGTTATTCTTAGGAACAGAATCATGGTATCTGCTCAGATTTGTGAAGGTGTTAGCTTTCTGGTTTCTGGTTTTCTAAATGATTATTAATGGCTAACAAATGTCTGTCAGTACTCTCATCTTTGATGGAAGGTTCAAAGTACTTTATAATATAGCTTTCCTAATTATTATGTAATATATTTTCCTTCCTCCCTCCTTCCCTCCTTCCCTCCTTCCCCCCTTCCCTCCCTCCCTCTCTTGCCCTCTCTCCTCTCTCTCCTTCTCTCTCTCTCTCTCTCTCTCTCTCTCTCTCTCTCTCTCTCTCCTTGCTCTCGCTCTCGCTCTCTCATCTTCCTGTAGCCCCAGCTGGCCTGGAACTCACTATGTAGACCAGGCTGACCTGGAAGTTACAGAGATCCATCTGTCTCTGCCTCCCAAATGCTGGGATTAAAGGCATGCACCACCATACCTGGCTCTAGGTAATATATTTTCTTGGTGCTAGGGAGAGAACTTATAGACCTTGTATGCTAGGCAAATGCTCTGCCACTGGGCTACACCCCAGTCCTTACTTCCTAAAAATTACTTGAAGATGGCCAAATATACATCTCTTTTAGTCTCTCTTGTGTTCATTATTTAATGATGTTTAATTACATAGTATTTTACTATTTTCTCTTTAAATTTTTAACAATTTTATTTTATGTATAGTATTATGCCTGCATGTATGTAAGTGCAGCCATGTCATGCAGTGCCCATGGAGGACAGAAGAGGGTGTTAGAGCCCGGGAACTGGAGTTACAGTTATTAGCCACCATGTTGGTCCTGGAATTTGAACCTGGGTCTTCTGCAAGAACAGCCAGTGCTCTTAATCTCTGAGCCACTCTTCTAGTCCCTATATTCTCTTTTATAGCTTTACCTCATTCCTTCTAGTGAGGGATTGAGAAAGCCCATGAGTTTGGTTATGGAGTGGTTTTATATTATCCTGAAGGTCAGAAGGCAATACAAAGCAATTAAAAAATAACATCCCCCTTGCCAGTTGCTGTAGCTAGGCTTTGTTCAAGTTACATGAAAAAGGTTTCTTAGAGTTCAGTATGTGTAAAAGGGAAATGATGGAGGGAGGTAGAGAACTGTGTCTAAAAGGAAGCAGGTAGGGAGGGTGATGCTGCTGAATGGTTAGCATGTTAGAAACTCAGCCCGCCCCCAAGAGGTGATGCTGCTGAATGGTTAGCATGTTAGAAACTCGGCCCGCCCCCCAAGAGTACGTATATATTCATTCTTTCCTTTTTTTTTCTTAGTTTTTGAGTCAGGGTTCTGTAACGGAGCCCAGGATGACCTTGAACATTCAGCGTTCTTCTTGTCCCGGTCTCCTGAGTGCCAATAATGGGTGTGCCACCTTGCCAGCTTAGATATTCATTCTTGTTATAGGAACTTAAACTTTTTAATTTAGCATTCTGAAACATCTAATTTTCAAACTATTTCATGAAGGTTCAAAGGAAATCTCCTCTTTGGGGGCATTTTTGGTATTCTTGTTGACAGTAGTGTCACATCCGATGTTTTAATTAATTTTGTTTAAAATGTGGTAGGAATTTGGTAGAAAATTGTTTTAGTATGAATATTTCTTTTTTGTTCTCCTTTACTCATTAATACTATACGATAAATGTAACTTCATAGAATCCAGAAGAAATAATTTTTGCTTAAAAGTTAGGTAGGTTCTTTTGCTAAGATTTGAGAGAGGCGTTTGAATGACTGAAGATTGTCCTCAGCTTGTGATTCAGTCACAGATTTGGTTCTTGCGTAGAGCTTTTGGTATGTTACATCTACACTGAGAATGAAACTGTATTGTACAAACAGACTTGGCTCCAGTTTAGCCTTCAGGCAGATGCGAAGGTCAATAGTGAACAGCCTGTATGCCTGTGGTGAAAGCTGCATAGAACAGACTCCAAAGCACAGAACCCAGACATCTTCAAGCAGATAAGACTTCTGCAAGCTTGACATGTTTTAATTCTGCTTTATTGAGCCCATCCCTGGTTGAGGGAGGACTGGTATAACCATAGGAGCTTAGTGTTTTTGAGAGACTGTGTAGGCACATTTAGCTACAGTTGTATGTGATCTTATTTTATAAAACAATCATTATTTTTAGGGGCTGGAGAGATGGCTCAGCAGTTAAGAGCACTGACTGCTATTGCAGAGGACCACCCAGCACCTACATGGTGGCTAACAAGGATTTATAACTCCATTTCCAGAGGATCCAGTGCCCTCTTCTGGTCTCCAAAGGCATTGCATGCACATGGTGCACTTACATACAGACAAAATACTCATACACATGAAATAATAATAAATAAATATTTTCAAAATTCATTATTTCTTAAAGCTGTCAGAATCAGGAGAGCCTATGAGTTTGATCATGAAATGATTTTCTTAAAATCATAGATCATATAAAGCAATTAAAGACTATTTTTTGTCATGATTAAATGATACTCAACTTATTTGCTAGAGAACTTAAACTCTATTCCTTAAAAATTGTTACTTATAAGAATTGCAGTAGATATAGTATCTAGTTTTCTTAATTAAAGCAGCTTTTAAACCTACACTGAGATGCCGGTCTTTTATAGAATCCAGATTGCTCATTTTCTTACAGCATTTACTAATCTCATAAACTTCAAAGCTGCACCAAGCCATAGCTTTGTAAGCAAGTTGTGAAATGACAGAATCTGAGGTGGGCTGCTCAGTGCTAAAACAGAGTAAAAATGAAAGGTGTGCTTTCATCTCCACAGAGTTTCCCTCTGTTTTTATTTCCTTAGAACTGGTAGAGTCTGAAATAGCCGAGTATATGCTGTGTTTGTCTTAATTCCCTTACCCATGAGGGAAGTTCGTGAGCCTACTTGAGTGAATGCCGATCTGAAGGAGGAGAGAGGAGAGTCTCACCATCTGAGTTTTGACTAAGTTCTTTCTCTCTTCCTTTATACTAGCTCTAATTTTAAACAGAACTAGGCATTTATAGGACTAGTTGTTGTACGTATCTTCTTATATATAATTAGATATTCTCTTCCTGTCTCTTCCTCTGTACATAATATAGCAGTTTACTTATTTAGGAAGTTAAAAATATATGAGTTAATGTGGGTTGAGAAGAAAATTATCTTGCAAGCCAATTGGCAGGATTTAATATTA